CAAGGGGGCTTCCTCTTTGATGTAAAACTTTTGCTGTGGCTACACAGCTTTCTATAAACTGTACACTATACTGTACGACGACTGTATTGGTATTCTATGCCACTTGTATTTGTATATTGTTAAATGCAATAGAATTTTTTTGTTTTCTGTTTTGTGCTCAACGGCAAAACTTTTTAGATTTGATTTTCTACAGATAACTTATAAAGAATCCTTTATTTTGTATTTTACAAATGTACATAATTTTTATATGTATATAATGAGCCATGAAACTCCCAAATAAAATGGAAAAGGTGAATATTTTCAATATTGCTTTTGTGACTGGTTTGTGGGTTGGCAATTTAGTGATGATGATTCCTCCATCGTGAGGTTATATTATGTCATTCAGTCTCCCCAAGAATAAACCAGACCTCTGATGGGACTTCTAGGTGACACTGCAGCCTCTCATCCATTGATTCTCTTCTGTATAAACTCTGTAGATGAGACGTCAACGTCAGGTCAGGAATACATGAATATCCAGCGGCCCCGGCTGTACTCATTATATAACCACATTCATTTGTCGCTCAGTGTGTTTTTTAGGCAAATACACAATTTTACTTGTCCTATATTTCATTACTATAGTTCATATAGAGATTTTAAATGCGTCCTCTATTGGTGATATGTGAGAATGCATTAAACAATTTTTGTTTAAAGTGTGTATGTGTGTGTGTGTGTGTGTGTGTGTGTATATATATATATATATATAATTATTGTGACAGGACAGTGTTGTGTCACTATGGCGATTGGTGTGTTTGGTGCCCAGGACTCTAGGCCAGAGGGGCTGAGAGGGTCCAGAAAACATATAGTGTGACAGGGAAGTCGCTGGGTTTCCAGTTCTTTCAGGAGAATAACTGGCATCTGGGTCTCTGGAGATTTCTAAAGGTGCCCATACACCTGCCGATTATCATACGATAATCGCGGGAAATCCCGCGATCGTACGATAATCGGCAGGTGTATGGAAGGTGTGCGACCGTTTCTACTGTACGGTCGCACGTCTTTTGTCTTACGAGCAGGCTCGAAAACCCGCCGAGAATGGTACGATTGTCGGTGGGTGTGTGGCATGCTCGTAAGACAAATGCCTCACACTGCCCATGCAGCATTGCAGTCATTGGAAGCCCGCCCCTCAGCAGGGCAGGCTTGCGATGATCGCAAGTACGATCTGCCAGTTCAAGATGGGCAGATCGTACGTTTTTTTTTTATTACCTTACAACCATCTCAAGACAAAAGTCTTGCGATGGTTGTAAGGCGTATGGGCACCTTAAGAGTCTTGGGCGGGATGAAATCTCCAGTCCTGGGGCCAGGTGCAGCCAATTGCCAGGCCAGACTGTCCAGGTGGCTGATAACAGCCCTATTAAAAGAGTGGACAGAGAAGAAGAGGCAGTCAGTGGTGCAGGAGTACAGGCAGAGTGTGGGAGACTGTGTATGTGACGCACGAGACACTGGGCTGGAGAGGCCCAGAGCGCCTGTGGCACACGCGGTGTGTGGGCGAGGTTAGGAGGGTCTGTGGCACACGCGGTGTGTGGGCGAGGTTAGGAGGGTCTGTGGCACACGCGGTGTGTGGGCGAGGTTAGGAGGGTCTGTGGCACACGCGGTGTGTGGGCGAGGTTAGGAGGGTCTGTGGCACACGCGGTGTGTGGGCGAGGTTAGGAGGGTCTGTGGCACACGCGGTGTGTGGGCGAGGTTAGGAGGGTCTGTGGCACACGCGGTGTGTGGGCGAGGTTAGGAGGGTCTGTGGCACACGCGGTGTGTGGGCGAGGTTAGGAGGGTCTGTGGCACACGCGGTGTGTGGGCGAGGTTAGGAGGGTCTGTGGCACACAAGGTGTGTTTGGAAGGGTCGGGAGGACCGTCGTCACACAGGGAGGTGTGAAACTGCTGGGTGTCTGGCCATGAGCCGGCTGAGGCTCTAACCCTGAGGTGGGACATGATACCGGTGCTCAGCCAAATCTTGGATGTTGTTGGAAGATACACTCTGTTTATTTGTTTGCTGAAAAGAAGCAATTTAAGTTGTACTGTTTGGAAGAAAATAAAGTTTTATTTGCTGATACGGCTGGCTAAGGATCCGGAAATACCCTAAACGTTATATATATTACAAAAAAGCTTCATTTTAATAATGAAATAATACTTTGGACCCACCGGGAGATGAGTTCAAATAAGAGTTTGCAAACCTTAAAGGAGAACTATGAGGTGAGCCCTTTTCACTCCTCCTCATAGTTCTAGCCGACCTGTGACAATGAGACTGTCACAGGTCGGCTCAGTAAAAGCTCCTATATAAAGCATACAATACTTATACTGCTCAACAGGGTGCTTGTCTTTTATAAAGGGTTCCTCCTCTAAAACCCAAATGGGCGAGTGGGTGAGTTCAAACAACATCACTAGCAATCTCAAGCTTGAAACATCATGTTCATGTCGATGGATCTGGAATGAGATGTCCAACAAGCTCTTATAAATGTGATGGTCAGATGCCCAAATAATAATGTATCTATAAGACATGGAGGTTCTCCTCTCTGATCGAGCCTCAGTCAGTCCCTATGATGTAGAACTCTGGTCTCTTTATAACACAATAGTATGTAGAGCGCTCTGGAGAGGGTGGAGGGTGTTTGAGATGAAATCTGGTGGGCAAATGATATGTGAGCAGCCCAAAGAAACCAGGCGGAGCACCGGCACAACAAACTTCTAACAATACAAACCAGAGGCCAGAGCGCATACACTTTACCATCGAAATGTTAGCGTGCTGTAAAGGAATAAGAAAGGACTTGGTGAGGACGGAATGACCTGCAGCCTGAATCGAGGATCTGTGTCCTATGGTTGTAATGAAACAAAGTGTATGCGCTCTGGCCTCTGGTTTGTATTTTTAGAACTCTTGTCTCCTACCAACGTCTGAGAAGAAGTAAAAGCAGCTGATGAAGCAGG